TGAATTTGGGGGGCCAGTTAGCTCAGTGGTTTGAGCACGGTGCTGGCAACAAGGACCAACATTGAGATCGCGGGTTCGATTCCTGCTCGGTTCCCATGTGTTGCCAGGTCTACTTGAGAGGTGGCGACCCTGCCCAAAACAGGGAGGTTAGATTAGATGATCTCTAAGGTCCCTTCCAGCCTATGCCATTCTGTGAGTCTATGATTCCATACCCTCCATCCTCTTCATCATCCAAGGCAAAAAGCCTACAGCTGGTACTGTACTCCCATAAAGGAGTGGGGAAGGGTGTCCCCCTCCCTCTCCCCGTGCTCTGCAGTGCCGAGGCAAAAGCAAAGGGTTGTTTTGGACTCAGTGATCTTAAAGGTCTCTTCCAACCAAAGAGATTCTCTCTGACACGCGCAGCCAAAAGATGCACTGAGGAACAACAGCTTGCAGCGTGATTTTGGAGATTTGCTGTCAAGGAGCAGCCACCTTTTCTCTGAGGACAGGCCCCAGAAAACTGCTGGCAGCCTCACAGCAGGCTCAGAATTGTGACTGCACCACTGGGGGCATGGGGCAGGTCCCCTTTCTGGAGGAGATAGATGATTTTAGTCTTTGTTTCCTCTTTGTTTCACCGTGAGAGCCAGGTGATTACATTTGGGAGAAGTAAAATTCCCTTGTTATTTGTGCTGTCCAGAGGATCCTACCTACTCTTTTTACATCTTATTTTCCTGAGCTGTGAGGAACTATTTAACCTCTACTATGTTTTTGTTCAGGAGAGCTAGAAAGGTAAAATGGTTTCCCTAAAGTAATTGTTCTACAGAGGGTGCACAACACTTTCTGAACCTGAGTCAGTACATAAATGTAAGGCCTTAAATGAGAAACCCAACGAGCATTAAAGCAGTTGAGAACTGAGGCGGGCTGCATGCTGGCTAAAAATCACCTGTGGAGTTCAGCCAGGGATCCTGATGCCCTATAACAGCAAAATGCAGAAGTCCTGATGTTCTATAATGGCAAAATAGAAACATTAGCTGATTAGCTGCGAGTTTTTATTGCTGATAGATGAACATTATCGGGCATTTTCAATCGCAGGTAAAGGAGAACACAAATATTATGGTTGGTGCAATTGTATTGCATTAACTTAAATGTGTGAGCTGCTGCTCAGATTGGAGATGACACTGTGGCCCTGTGAGTCAGCGCATCACACACCCGCTGTATGTGCCCGTGAGCAAGTCCAGGTTCCCCTCCCCGCTGCTCCCTTTCACCGTGATCCCATCAAGGCAACTGGCCCTGCAATGGGAGATGGCTGGGCTGTACTTTGTACACCAGTGCTGTCGTACTTTGGTGGAGATGGTTTCTCTCTTGTTTAACAGAGTAGGCAAATGTAGGCAAATTTTTCCCTTTCCTGAATTTATGTGGAAACCTGAGATGAGGAGAAATCTGAATGTGTTTTCAAATGAAAGCTGGGGTGAGGAAAGTTATGCTGACTAAGTCTAAAAAACCCTGAGCTTCCTTGTGTGCCAAGGAGCTGTATTTGTCTGTAAAATAGACTTTTGAGAGGAAAAGCGGAATTGCCTCTGGGATGTTTAAAATGAACAGAGGTGATAATCCAGTGTCATGGGACAAATGAGCCAGCTGCTCTGATGGCACCATGCCCTCTGATGGGGAACAAGGAGTCCCAGTGCAAGGGCCTTGGATATGTAGGTATGGAATGAATGTCGCAGTACGTGTGTCATGTGTAGCTGAGAGCAGTCTTTGCTATTCCAGGATTTGAAATCTTTCGATACTCATAGCCTCCTGACTGAAAGGGTTATCCATTCAGCCCATTTTCATAGGGAAATCAGTGACGTGGTGTGCTCAGAGCCAGGTGTGTGCTCCCTGACTCCCCGCTGCCCTGCTCTGGGCTGGGCTGCTTCACCAAAGAGAAACAGGGCAGTAGCAGTAGCACAGAGGAGCTCATTTGACTTGCCTGGTTTCTCCTGGCTGATGAGTCGCTCAACAGCCTTCAACCAGTGGCGAGGGCAGCTCACAGGCATCCACTGACAGCTCTGCATTGAGAGAGCATCTCTGGGAGGGAGGGACCCAGCACTGCTGAAGGCTGTCACTGGTCAGCACATGGGACAGACCTAAAAAAGATAAACAGCACAGAAAAAAAACAGCTGCCAGAGGCTGTATCCATCCACTCATCTAGGAAAACCACCAAGTGCCCTTGAAGGTAAGCACTGGATGACAGACAGACCTGTGAAAGCCTGTGCCAGTGGGGAAGCCTCAGCACAGGGTTTTCCCACTGCCACAGCAGCTCTCTTCCATCCCCGTCCTCCTGTCCTGACCGACTGCGGGCTGACCTGCATTCCCAACCCCGCGCAGCAGAAGAGGGAGCGAAGGGAGACAGGCTGTGCCTGGCAGCCCAAGGATTTCGCAAGAGGAGAACCCCTAGCTAAAAGAACACGATGGACCGTTTCCGGATGATCCTCCAGTACTTCCAATCCAACTCGGAGTCTGTAATGAATGGGATCTGTGGGCTGTTAGCCCTGGCTAGTGTAAAGATGTACACTTGCTTTGACTTCAGCTGCCCCTGTCTGCTCTGGTACAACATGGTATACGGCTTGGGGATCATGTTTGTACCCCCCATCGCACTCTTCCTCTGTGGCCTCATCCTCAACAGACAGTCCCTGGTGATGCTGGAGGAGTGGAGGCGGCCGCAGGGACGCAGAAAGAAGGACCAAGCTGTCATCAGGTGGGGTTTGCACCAGGAGTCCCTCCTTTCACCTCCTGCTTAGATGTCTCACCTTCTGGTAATTAGTTTTCTTCTAAGCTCAGCTCCCAAGAGCTTTCTCTGTGAACCTTAAAGGGGCAGGGGCATTGTAAATGTGTTTACAACAGCAGAAACAAATGCAGAGCCTCATCCCAGCCCAGCAAAGGAGGGCAGGAGCACCTCAACACCAACTGCTGTGTTTACGCAGCCACCCTGGGAAACTGCATCGCTGCCTGCCCTGTTGTGTGCACACAGTGTTTCTCCTGGGGCTTACATATACAAAAAGATAAGACATTTCCACTTAAATGTGCAGCAAGAGCAGCATTTCCACCATAGACATTCTTTATCGATAGGGTTTTCCTCCCTTCAGCTGAATTTTTACTGACTGACACTTGTGAAATGGAGAGAAAAATAGCATCCAATGTGATACATACAAAGTTTTACTGAGTGCACAGGTTGACCCGGAGTGGTGCAAGAAAGGCTAAAGGGAAACGTGATCTTCCAGGTAGAAACAGAGCTGATGAGAAAGGAAAGAGGGAATGTAGAGGACAAGGGAGAGCTGACAAGGATCTGTGCACGGGAAACATGAGTATACAGATGAGGCAAGCACACAGTGAGAGAGAGGGCCATGCACTACGTGGAATGCAGGCAGCACGCAGAGCACTGCTGCACACTAGCAGAGATTTCACTGGGAGGCAGCACCAACAAAGAGATCCCAGAGCAGAAGAGGCATTGGCTGGAGCAATACTGGCGACAGTCCTGGGATTCAGCTCCCTGGCTCTGGGAGGGCTGTTTGGCATAGGGCAGCCTGCATCCATCGAGGCTGTGAATGAGGAGAAAGCTCCCAGCATTTACCCACTCACTCTTCCCTCTCTCCTGCCCCAGGTACATGTGTTCCTCCATCATGCAGCGAGCCATGGTTGCCCCTGTCGTCTGGATCGTAGTAACTCTCCTGGATGGCAAATGTCTGATCTGTGCTTTCAGCAGCTCCGTGGATCCTGAGAAGTTTGTGGGCTTTGCCAACGCCAGCCACCCCGTGCAGGTGCAGCAGCTACTGGCCAAGGTGCCCTGTAAGGATGATGAGCTCATGAGGAACGACACGTCCCGCAAGGCAGTGTCCAGATACCTGCGCTGCTGGTCCCAGGTGGGTTACTGCCAGCAGAACCCCCCGTGTAGGTGAGGGGCCCACGGCACATGTCATCTGCTCCTGATCTTCCTTGGTTTGTCATAGCTTCATCACGGTCAGGCTGGGAGCAAGACTGCTCTTTGCTTCTCTATGCCCCCAAATGTTGCCAACCTCAGTGATAATCTCCATAGTCACTGAGTTACTGATGCACAGAAAACTGTCCTATACTCACTGGGAGGACATTATACCACCCCTCTGTGTACAGTTTGGGGGTGCTGGACTTCAGGGACAGACCAAGGACAGGAGTCCAGGTATGCCACATCTCCCCTCCAGCCACAAAATTCCCTGTCTCAGTGAAACAGGCAAACAGCTCGTGCCTGTCCTTGTGCCTGTCTTGCTCCTGTTCCACTGCTTATTTCTTATCACCCAGGCACTCGGCTGGAGCATTTTGCTGATCCTTATCATAGCAGCTTTCCTCGCCCGCTGGCTCAGACCTTGCTTCAACCAGGCTGCCCTCCTGCAGGCACGTCACTGGAGCAACTACATTGACATCGAGCAAAAGATTTTTGAGGAAACCTGCTGTGAGCACAGCCGGCTCTTTGCTCACAAATGCATCCTCCACTTCTTCGAAAGCATGCGGCAAGAAATCAAACTGCACGGCTTCAGCTTGCCTTGTGAGGGAGAGCATATTGAAGGAGAGGAAGATCTTCTCCGGGGCATCACACATCAGGATAAGGTGAATAAACTTCTGAAAATGTGGTACTATGAGAAACCTCCTCTGGATGTGAGCCAGGCAACCCAGAGGCACTCCCTGGAGTGAAAGAGATCCCCTCCGTCCGGGGCAGACAGCCCTAGTACACGGTCCAAATTCCCCCAGCTTTGTCCTGCAGCCACTGAAGGGACACTGCCATACCTCTGCACAAAGCAATGACCCATGGACAGATGACAGTGCTTCTCACACCTTACTCCAAAACTCCAACCCCAAAAGGCTTCATTCCGGGGCATGCCTAGTGAAATCTCCAAAATAAACTATCTCTGAAGATCCAAAGGCCCCAGACTCAGTCGCTATTAATGACATTTCTCAACCAAGACCTCTGCATAGCACTCTCGTCATATTAAAGACTTTTCAGATCCTTACAGCTGTAGTAAAACCTGTCTGGCTCAAGGAAGGATTTAACCAAGGTGGCAACATCCGGCTGCGTAAGCAAATTGACTGGAGAAGCTTCCCAGAGGTGTGAGGAGCTCCTGCCCATTTCAGTGAAACCTAGTTCAGAGAGTTAGCAGTGCTGACACCAAAGTGATTTAACTGGCAACTCTTTTAGTACCACACCAACAAGTTCACTCAAAAAGGCAAAACCACCTGCTATATCTACACATCTGATGAGAGCTTTGACTGCCCCCTAGCCCAGCCACCAAACTGTTCAGCCTCCCTTTGACAATCCTTCAATACTTCCATGCATTTTCAAAACAGGATATGGCAACATACTGAAATTCATGGAACAGCATAGATTTAATTGAAGATACCTCTGGATAAGTGTCCCTAGATTGGGACGGATTTGCAGAAGGAAAAGGAGATGGAGGCACATGTTGAGAGCTGTGGGACTGTGCTGGGAGTGAGGTGGCTGCACTAAGTACTGGCATTGGACCACGGAAAGGACACATTGACTCTGCCCGAAAAGTCTGAACACAAATCTTCAACACTTCCCTCACAGATTTTACTACAAACCAATCAATCTAGAGGATCATCTTTCCATCACCTGAGCATTTCCATCCTTAGTTTCAAATCTGTTTGAACGTAACTTTATCTCTGAGCCTCTAATGTTAATCGCTTTCTCATCTGCCTTTTTCCAATCCCTGTAGTAGATGGTGCCAGCCACAGTGCCAGTTCTAACGATATTTCTGCCCAGCATCGCTGCTTGGATGCATTAAACTTTTTCCTGCAAACTATACGTATATTTCTCCAGGTGGAGACTCACACTGATGCCCACTTTGTTCTCGGGAGTGACGGGTGCAAGGTGGAGGGGCTATGAGGAGGAGGGGTGAGGAAGAAGTGTCTCCTTTGCCGTGTGTGGATAGGTGGGGCCTCCAGGATGAAAGAAAAGTGTGGGAAATGGGTATATAAATCTTCCACCATCTTGTGACTAAATCCAAAATGAGGGGTTGAATTGAAAATATGTATTAATCCTCAAAATTAACTTGTTGAGCTGCTGGGAGGTGGGTCATCTCCTCCCCAGGATGTTTGTGTGGGAGGGAGGAGATGCTGGGCAAAACACACGGAGGCCAAATAATTCCATGACCCACCTGTGGGCAGCTGCACCCCTCTGCCAGGCAAGGCCTGGTCAGAAGCTGGAGGGTGCAGCGTGATGTGCTGAAGAGATTTTCTTATTTGCATAGCAAAATCAGCACTGGCTGAATCCCTGAGCTTCCCTGGATGGGCTCAGAGAGGGCACAAAGTCAGCTGTGGCCCATGCTGGTTGGGAATAACACAGTAGTCTTCTCACCAGCAGCTCTTTAAGTCCAGGAAGATTGTGAGCTCTCTTTTGAAATGAGCATTGCATCCTGAATTTCATCTCTGATTTACTTTTATCAGACACGACATCACAAATCTCGGGCTTAGACTCAGTTTGGACTCACCACTCCACACTAGTCAAATTGGTTATTTTCCTAATCAGTTCAGAGCAGAGGTCCACAGCTCCTCTTTGCATGCTGCTTTTCATGTTCTCAGGTTTTAAGTCATCCCAGAGTGGCCAGAAAACACAAAATGCAAAAAAGGGGAAGAGGCTTGTTTTGAATCCCACTGACTTATTGTTGTCTTCACTGAGAACTGCCAGTCCTGTACACTAAGTAGGCTCGGACTCCTCATTCGTGTTTGATGAAAGGCAGAGTTTTCCTGGAGATCAAAAAGCAATCTGCTTTCCACGAGCTTGATTCATGCAGGCTTTGATGTGAACTGCCCTTCAAAAAGCCATTCGCCAGGTGAACAGGGAAGCCAGCCTGAGCTCTTAGCTAGCAATACGATAAGCCTCATCTATATTCATGCCACCAAATCTCTTTCCACTTGATGAGATCATGCAATTAACCTCTCCACAGCAGGCGGAGCTAAGACTGCCCAAGTATTACTGACATACTTTGTGCTCAGTGGTGGCATCTCAGGGTGAACTTCTCATTACCAACCTAGCCCCAGGGCTGGCCAGGGGGGAGATATCAGAAACTGCTGCACTGATTAATGGTCAAAACACCTGGTTTGGCTTCATACTTCTGTACCGACGCGCTGCAAAACCTCTGGGAAGAGTATCTCCCACACGCCACCCACCTCGCCTTGGTGACATATCCCACAGCCACAAATGGAGCCACGCTGGTGCCCAGGCAATCAGATGTATCTTGATAGTCATGTCAGCAGCACACACAGTGCCTGGACCAGAGGGACTGAACGCCTTGCAGATAGTCAATACCGCAACCATCTTGTAGTCTTGCAGAGCCAACCATCTTGTAGCCCCAGTATTCCCCCATTTTTGGCCAACTTGAGAGAGCAACCTAATGCATCAAGGCTGCTTTGTGAGATGGGAATAGAGATGCAGGAGAGCACCAGGAACACAATCTATGTCTTTTAGGTCTGTGCTGCAGGAGCTAGGCCTGGCCCAATTGTAGCTATCACACCTCATCAGTGTTTGTCTCGGTTCTGGCAAGCTGAGGAGGAGTCTGTCAGCTCAGCTCTGTGCTGGCAAATGTACACAGGGTCTTTGCACTGGAAAGCCCCCAGGTCTGCAGGCAGCAATAAGCTGAAATGAGCCATGCCTTTGTGAAAGGGGAGAGAGCTAAAAGTGTTGGCGAAGCTTTGCACTCTGGCATAAAGATGCGGGACGTGGACACCACAGACCTGATCTGGCTCTGCCCAAGCTGCTCCTGGTGCACAAAGATCAAGGAGGGAAACGCAGGTATTCAGGTTTGCTTGGGTCCAGATCGCCTGGTGTTGCTACTGAATTAATAAAGGCAGGCAAAGTGGTGTGGCTAAACTGTCAGCAATCCTGTGCTGCACAGATTAGCCAGCCCAATACTCATCCAGCTCAGCCCTCCCTGCACAATGCACCGGCTGCATGGGAAACGTGCCCTTAGACACCTTAGCTTCAGGTCAAGGCATACAGCCAAATCCCAGCCCCAGCCCCTCCTGCTAAATGGGTGCACATTGCTGGTTCAGGTAGTCCTTGCTCTGCCCTTCGCGTCAGGATGTGAGCAATCTTCAGAGGAGTGGCAGCTCTGCTGACCCCTCAGCCCCTGGGGCTGCTCGTACCTGCTGGCTTAATGGGCAGGAAGGCCTCTGCACAGTCCATGTCTGCAGGTTATCTGGTACCACTGGGAAACGTAGTCCCTTGGGCATAGAGGCTTCCCTTGGGCTAGGAGAGTCACTGGCAGGGTTTACACATCCTCCTTGTATTCCCAGTTCCTGCACATCCCAAATTTGTCAAGGGATTATACCCGTAAGAGCTGGCTGCAAGAAAATCGTTCAGCCTCTGTCACTGCCAACTCAGAGCAAAGTGTACTCAAGCCCTTGAGAAATGCTCATTGAAAATGGGTGAAATGAAGAAAACTCAGGGAAAAAAAAAAGTAATCTCAGAGTTCTTCTGGGCAGGAAGCATCTTCTGAGAAAGCAGAGGTACTCAGGGCTCAGATGCTCTCAGCAGGACTCACCTGCAGAGCAGGGTGTGTCCTCTGCGCCCCTGTCTCCACAGCCCTGTCTGCTCTCTATGCCTAATTATCTCGAGCCCCAAAGCCAGGAAAAGCACTATGTGCCTCTGGACATTGCCAGACCATGACAGTCAGGGTTTAGAGGATATTTTAGTAAGTCCTGAGGGCACAGGGCTGTGAAAACTAAGGAGCTACAAGCATCATCTTGTAAGTCCAGCCAAAATGTGGATGTTTGCAGGACAGAAGTAAGCCACCGAAAGACCTTGACAATACAGATACAACATCCCTGAGCACAGAGAATTTTATCCCTTCTTTCTATGCTTTTCCTTTTCTCTTCCCTTCCTTCTACAGAATAAAACAGAAAAAGCATTTCCCAGACAATCAGGTACAGAGGAGGGGGCTGGCAGACCCATGAGTTCCTTGCATTAGATGCTGCTGGGGTGATGCAGACATGGAGGTAGGGGGGAAGCTCTGGCATCCCACTTTTCCATATGTGCTCGCACTGCAGAGGTGGGGCATCCCATTCAGTCCTGGGAGGAGCACCCACCTCCTGCATTTGCAAACAGATTCACAGAAGCCAGCCAGCCAAATTCCCTTTCTGCCCAGGGCACAGGTTGCTCTGGGAAGGGCACAGCCATGGTAACACCTGCACCCACCAGCCAAGGGGGCCAGTGGCTGGGAGACTGCAGAAACGGAGACAAGGAGAAGAATGAATGCAGGTTTAGCAAATCAAAACCAACCCATGTTTCACAGACACAAAGAAGAGCAAGAGGAAGCAAACTGAACTTTTGCAAGCAGCAGAATTAGCAGAAAAAATGTTTGAATTTTCTGAGTTAAATATCAAGACTGAAAGAGTGCACAAATGAATCAGTGAACTACACAGAGACTTGTTGATGTCCATCTTTGAAGAGAGGGGCTAACAGAATGAAGTGAACCAAAGCCCCAAGCTTGGACCCTGGTGGGGGGAGGAATCGCATCAAGGGAAGATGGACAAGTTTCGGATGATCTTCCAGTTTCTCCAATCCAACCAGGAGTCCTTCATGAATGGCATCTGTGGGATCATGGCCCTTGCCAGTGCCCAGATGTACTCTGCCTTTGACTTCAACTGCCCCTGCCTGCCGCACTACAATCTGGCCTACGGGCTGGGCATCCTCCTGGTGCCCCCCTTCATCTTGTTCCTGCTGGGCTTTGTGCTGAACAACAACGTCTCCATGCTGGCAGAGGAGTGGAGGCGGCCCCGGGGCCAGA